GCTTGTCTTGTTAACGAGATAGTTCCATATTTCTCCGGTTCTTCAAAGGCTGCTTAAATGTTTCACCTTCTGCGGCTTTCCCAGTAACAGATTCGAGATTCTTTTTCTGCTTAGCTGTCATATTTTGAGATACTTGATAGTCTAGATACTGTTTCTTATTCCCCTTGTTAAAGGGACAAAAGAGTGTATCCGTCAAGCTTACTCAGCATGGAATGAGTCCTTAGAAGCCTATTTATATCTCGGGAACATTAATACAACGAAGCGCTGATTCAGTTGGCAAGAAAGCAACTCTTTATTCAAGCAAATCTTACGACAATACAAGAAGCATAAATAACCACAGTAGTTATATTTACTGTATCGAGCCAGCTTGCATGTTAATTATCCCTAACATATGATTTATGATTAGCGCGAGCATCTCAGTAGAAAAAAAGCAGATTTGATTTCTCTTTGTATGTCGCCCTCACTCCAGGGTGAACTCTTTTCCAAAGACTGAATCTTTCATTCTGTTGATATACTCTACTAATGTTGGATATTGCTCCTTCAAGAGATCCTTGGCATGGTTAGCAGTTGGGACATAGAGCGTAGTGGCCAAGTGCCCAAAAACGGTGCAGTCTGTCTAAAATTCGAACTATCAATGCAATTTAGCAGAAATAACAAAAGAGAGCATTATTACCGCAGAAATGCTGTCTCCGAACAAGAACTTCTGCTCGCCGAGTATTGTCTTCAAAGCATCGAAGTCTTTTTTAAGAATATCGTCATAGTTTTCTTTAGACATCAAACCAACACCGGCTGCAATTCGTTTTATAACCTAAATAATCAAATCGAATTATTTCAACTTTGAAGGCAACCATAAACAGATAACTTCAACCTTTCCTTTCAGCAATAGTGCCACAACAGGAGCAGCTACCGAGATTAATGAAGCAGGAAAGTTCATATTACGCAAAATCAAAGAGAAGAACTCAACAGCGTTTTCAACCACCACGAAATGACGCTGCACACTAAAAATATTCATTAGCTCTTTCGAAAAGTCAGAAAATAATGGAAAATGA